GATAGGGACCATATAGGGGACTGTATGGGGACCGGGGCTGTATGGGAGATAGGGACCCTATAGGGGACTGTATGGGGACCGGGGCTCTATGGGGACCGGGGCTCTATGGGAGATAGGGATCGTATAGGAGACTGTATGGGGACCAGGACCCTATGGGGACCGGGACTGTATGGGGGATAGGGACCATATAGGGGACTGTATGGGGGGCCAGGGCTCTATGGGGACCGGGACTGTATAGGGGACTGTATGGGGACCGGGACCGTATGGGGACTGGGACTGTATGGGAGATAAGGACTGTATAGGGGACTGTATGGGGACTGGGGCCGTATGGGGACCAGGACTGTATAGGGGACCGGGGCTGTATGGGGACCAGGACTGTATAGGGGACCGTATGGGGACCAGGGCTGTATGGGGGACTGGGACTGTATAGGGGACCGGGGCTCTATGGGGAATAGGGGCTCTACAGGGGACTGTATGGGGGACCAGGACCATATGGGAGATAGGGACTGTGTGGGGGATTGGGGCTGTGTGGGGACTGGGACCATATGGGGGACTGGGGCCATATAGGGGACCAGGGCTGTATGGGGAGACTGGGACTGTATGGGGGACCAGGGCTCTAGAGGGGACTGGGGCCTTATGGGGCCTGGGACCGTATGGGAGATAGGGACTGTATTGGGGACTGTATGGGGGACTGGGGCCGTATGGGAGACCATATGGGGGATGGAGGCTGTATGGGGGACCAGGACTCCATAGGGAACCAGGACCATATGGGGATCGGGACCGTGTGGGGGGCCGGAACTGTATGGGGGACAGGACGATATAGGGGACTGGGGCTATATGGAGGACTGGGACTCTATGGGGGACCAGGATCATATGGGGGACCGGGACCGTATGGGACATCAGGACCATATGGGGAACGTGGGGCCATATGGGGGCACCAGGGCCATATGAGGGGGCTGGGAGCATATAGGGGATGGGACCGTATAGGGGACTGGGACAATATGGGAGGGCTGGGGCCATGTATGGGGTTCCAGGGCTGTATAGGGAGGGTCTGGGGGTGTCATACGGGCCCCAGGGCTGTGTGGGGGTGTCAGGGGTCCACACAAGGCCCCAGGGCTGTGTGGGGGTGCCATGCGGGGCCCCAGGCCTGTATGGGGGTGCTGGGGGGGCCATGCAGGGCCCCAGGGCAGTGTGGGGGTGCCGGGGGGGCCATGTGGGACCCCAGGGCTGTATGGGGGTGCCGGGGGGGCCACGCGGGGCCCCAGGGCGGTGTGGGGGTGTGGGGGTCCCGGGGGGGC